AGAGATCAAATAGGGCTCCTAATTTTGCACAACTGCAATGAATATGGTTTTTATCTAGTGTGAGTTCTCATGGGTATATCTTTGTTTGAACCAGATGGCAGCGCACACGAAGGCAGCATCACAGTGACAGAGCACACACGTACGGTTTCCTCCCGTGTGAGTTGCCATATCTTCACGTGAACGCAGACGGCAGAAGGCAGCATACACAGATATCACACATACGGTTTCTCTCCCAGGTGAGTTGTCACGTGTATTTTACATTACTCATGGCCCTGTCACACGCTTCCTTGACGATTTAGCAGCGTATGCCGGACGTATCAAAATTTTTCTCTAAAACGCTGGCATACGCTGAACTATCGATGTTTTTTTTCCAATTTTGGGCGTATACATAGGCGTATTCATAACGAGTTGGACGTATATTAACGTATTATGTAACGTATATCGAACGTTTCGACAACTTATATAGATAACTTATACCAACGAATGCTTAGGCGTGTTGGCCGGCGTTCACAACTTATGCCAACGATAGTCTAACTTATGCATAGCGCGCGGGCAGCAATATCGCCGCGACGATCACGTGTCGTAGCCCATAAAAAGGCTGCCGCTCGAGCGATTCAACATGTAACCGCAGTAGACATTGCAATATCAACATCACCGTTGCAGTATCAACATGAAAATACCATTTTTATATACCAATTCCCCTAAACGCTGCCAATACGCCATTATACGGTAGCTGTAAGTTTAGAAACACGTTCAGTAAGTTCTGTGGTCGTCCCGGAACACGTCAAATACGTCTACATACGTCAATATACGTTGGAGATAAGTTACACATAGGTTCAAAGCACGTTACTCATAGTTTAGAATTAAGTTTTGGGTACGCTAAACATTATCTCGACGTATTTCGAGCCTTATGAGTAACTTACAAGTAACGTGTGTGAACGTGTGTCAACGATCGCATAACTTGCCTACAACTTATGGCCCGCGTATGGGCATACGCTGGCATACGTCGGAAAATTTTGAGCATGCTCAGAATTTTCCGACGACCTCGCGCGTACTACGACGTATACCAGGTGCTTCAGCCGTGCTTCAGCGTGCTCTTAACTTATACAAAGTTTACCCATAACTTATTCGACGTACGCCAGCGTATTGACCAAATTTTTCATACGTTGGTATACGCTGGCTTTCATACGGAGGTGTGACAGCGCCATAACGTTCGTGTGGCACGTTTCTGGAACGTTGCTACAACGTTATTCCTGACATTTCAATCAGTTCTCCCAGCTAACACATAACGTTCCCACAACAGTTTGCTGGAATGTTGTAGTTTGGTTACGTCAGTAATAACGTTGTAGCAACGTTCCAGAAACGTACCACACGAACGTTACACTCGCACCTTCTCACAACGTTATGTAGTAACGTTTTAAAAACGTTATGTAGTAACGTTTTAAAAACGTTATTAGGACGTTTACATATTTTTCTATAGTTAATTAACATCTGTACCTCAGGATTTGCGTCCTGGTGGGGGAGCGCCTCTGTACGTGCGGCGGCGCCTTTCTCGCCGGGCGCACGGGGGGGTTGTGGACCCTCCTTCACTGCGCGCCCGGCTTCTCGGGCACTTTTCCTGCCCCGCCCCCTATCCACTGGGGCAGGCCCGACTTCCTCTTGCGGGGGACCAGGGTGGGGTGGCTCCCGCAGCCGTCCCGACAGCCCTGGGCAGGGCCACTGCTCCACGATGGAGTCACGCTCGCCGGACGAGTGGTTTGACAAGCGCGGCGCGCTTCTTCCGGCGACTTGCTTATGATTTACGACATAAGATCAAAGTAAAACACGATTTACGTAAGAAAAATATACAGCTCACAAACTAATTACTAAGCGCCAATGGGTCTATGTCTCCCTGACCTCTGTTTGACTTGGCTCCTTCAGATCTTTCTGACTAACCCTAATCGCTAACCCTAACCATATGAGATAGTTACGAGGGTTTATAGGTAGTCAGAAAGATCTGAACGAGCCAGGTCAAACAGAGAGTCAGGGAGACATAGAACCTATGAGCATTACTAACCGCACATTCTGGCTCCCTTCCTCTTTTAACAGTCCGTATAGTACTGATCATGTGACGTGCACGCCATCAAACTACTAGACTTCTAAAGCTTCCGTTCAAAACAATTTTTCACAAACCACGGTAAATTTTTCTCGGTCCAAGCCCATTGGTTTGGGATGATAAGCTGCGGGTCATCAAATGAACGGATGTTTAAGGTCTTGCATATGTCTTGTGTTGATCTGGTAAAAATAAAATAAATAAACTGAGGCAATCTTTTTGCAATTATTATAACTAAAAATGGATGATTACTTTTTTATACTCTCTGTTTCCGATTACCTAATTTATTCCTATTTTTTGTGAGTACAGAACCAAACACAAAGAAAGTTTTGGATGAATTTACAATATCCCTGGAACATTTACTCAACTGCATTGATGAATTCCTTTCCCAGGTCTCTTAATATTTTTTTGGGGGTCCCATGCCTATAGATGACCATCATAAGACAACTGGCTATTTTTTCAGCTTTTCTGTCTGATATGGGAAATGCTTCCAGCCATTTGTGAAGTAGACTGTACACGTGAAAAGTCTCCACTTGTTCCCAGTCTCGGGTTGTCTTCAGTGGGCCAGTAAGATCAACAACCGACCATCTCCCATGGCTCTGTCAGCTGTTAAACAAGTGCATACACTAATACTAATGTTGATGGCACACTGTCGTCATGGTCTCTGCCTCCAAACAATAACATGAATTGTGAGAACGTTGCAGCAATATTTGACAGAAATAACGACAATGCAAGATTAAATACCCTGGCCATAATTAATAAGGTTTTACCATTAACATATGAGGTATAGTATTGTAGCGGTGGCACCGGACCCTCGGGTTCCAAGAGCGGTTAGGGTGTAGACCCCTGGGTACCGCGGAGATGGGGAGATGGTGAATGTTTGTTATTTGTCTAATTGTTGCTGTCCCGCTTTCTGCCTAGAGCGCCGTGTGGTGAGTAAACCCCGTATTGTCCGTCGTTGTGGGGCGAGTGAATAATACAGTACTATTTAGAGTGAACGTATCGGTTCTGCACAAATAGCGGGGAGTTAGTCTATTTCGTGCATGCAGCGGCTGTACGGGAGGTGAAGCCGGTCGGTACGCTAACTGTACTGTAGCCGCTTTTTGCCTGGCTGCGGCTCATAGTCTATACTGTGTGTTTAACCCCTGTGCTTACCCGGTGTAGGCGTTTGCGCGTCTTCCGGCGACACCCGTGGTGCCACCGGTCAAGCACTTAGTGCTAGTACACGAACCTTTAGGTATTGAACCGGCCGTGATCGTCACCGTCCCGGACCCCGCTAGCCACCCGAGCGCTCGAGGCTACTGCGCTCACCGCGCAATAACCGGTTCCGCTGTGCTCCGGTCCCCGTGTGTCGTAGTTAGTCAACAGTGCGGGACGAGTAACGACACGCACACACACACAGGCGGCAAACTCCACCCTGCCCCTGCCGCGCTAGACTCGCGTTTTTACGATGAATAAACAAGTGTATACCCAAGGTAAACACAGAGGTTAAACAGCACAGTATATGACTATGAGAGCGCAGCCCGGGCAAAAAGGGCTACAGTACAGTTAGGTACCGGACGGCTTCACCTCCCGTACAGCCGCACGAAAATGACTAACTCCCCCGCTATTTGTGCAGACCCGATACGTTCACTCTAATCAGTGCCCGGGAAAGTCCGGACCGCGGCCGGATCCGGCCGCGGAGTGGTTCAATCGCGGCCCGCGAAAGGTTTTGGAGAATGTGATGAAACCACGACTTTCGTTAATTTTTACAAATTTACGGAAAAAAATAACAGTACTACTGTACAACCTGTAAAGCAGTACAGAGTTACTTAACAGCCAGTTAATCGTATTGACAAGCATGTTGAGTCATAAAGCCTAGGACACACTAGCGATTCTGTACGCTGCCCGGCAGCGTATATGTTCGTTACGAATTTAGAACGCCGTACCAGTTCCGCGGACAGCTGGACACACTGTACGGTGTCAAACCGCTTCCAAGCTCTGTTCGTGCTAACTGTGATTGCTGCTAAAAAACAATTCGCGTTCGATTAATTTATAATGCGAATAACGAATATCTATCTGCTGGTGGCTTGCGTGGCGCTAGGCGGTCGTGTCGAAGCGCATGCAAGCGCATGCGCCGTACGCAAGCGATTTTTAATTTTTTTAATTTTAAGTGCTCAGATAATTTTTACCAATGTAAAAATGGCATCCAAGAAACGTAAAGTTGACTCCGAAAATCTGGTTTAATGAGGACTGGACAAGAGACTATTTTTTTGTAGAGAACAGAGGAAACATTGTCTGCCTTATATGCACAGAAACGATCGCTGTTGCCAAAGTAAGCAATGTCAAACGTCATTACATGTCAAAACACTCTTCCAAGTTTGATGAGTTGCAAGGAGAACAAAGAGCTGTGAAAGTCAAAGAACTGAAGGGAAAGCTGTCATCTCAACAAAGTGTGTTTACCAAATCAGACGGAGAATTCAAAAAATCCACAAAGGCGAGCTACGTAGTTTCAGAGATAATTGCAAAGAGGATGAAACCATTCAGTGACGGTGAATTTGTGAAAGAGTGTGTGAATGCAGTTTTTGACACAATGTGCCCTGAGAAAGCTCCGATTCTAAACAGTCTCAGTCTGAGTGCTAGGACAGTCAGTACGAGGATCGAGGAATTGTCAAAAAATCTGTCTGACCAGTTGCACTCAGCAGCCTCTCAGTTCAAAGTGTTTTCGCTTGCAGCTTGACGAGAGCACGGACATTTCAGATACTGCTCAGCTGGCCATTTTTGTGCGAGGTGTTGATGATGAGTTCAATATAACTGAGGAACTTCTTGCTCTTGTGCCCCATGAAAGACACTTGTACTGGAAAGGCAGTTTTCAGGAGTGTGATTCAGAATGAAGAAAGCGAATCTGAATTATGAAAAACTCGTTGGAATTGGCCACAGATGGTGCCCATGCAATGGTCGGGGAGGCAGAAAAGGATTTCAAGGCATGTTTAAAGAAAGAGCTCCAAACCAGAAACATTCGCCCAAACGTTGATATTGGTGCACTGTATCATACACCAAGATCTTTGTGCACGAAGGTCATTGGTTTCCAGGAAATGCATGGCTAAAATAATATCAACTGTGAATTTCATCCGTGCTCGGGCAGTGAATCATCGCCAATTCAAAGAACTTCTGGAGGAATTGGCTGCGAATTACAAAGACGTTCTGTACTTTTCTCAAGTGAGATGCGTGAGTAGAGGGCGCACTCTGAACCGGGTGTGGAGCTGAGAGAAGAAATTGCAGCAGTTCATGGAGTCGAAAGAAGGCCTCTACTGGAATTCTCCGACGAAACAGTGGCTCTGGCGACTTTGCCTTCTTGGTCGACATTACTGAAAAGTTGAATGCAGTTGAATCGTGTCTATGGCAGGGAAAGGACAAACTCGTTCACAATCTCTTTGGTGATATCAAGTCGTTTGAAGCCAAGCTGCTTCTTTGGAAAAGTCAATTGGAGAACAATGTTTTCGATCATTTCCCTTGTCTGAAAAGTCAGAAAAGAATTGAAGCCAGAAGGAGGAAAGATACTCGCACTGAAATCGAAAAACTCACAGCGAGAGTTTTCTGCGCGTTTTCAAGGAGTTTCGTGCAAACGAAAATGACTTCAAGATCTTCTCAATGCCTTTTTCTGTTGATCCAGTGACAGCTCCCACGAATCTGGCAGTTAGAATTAATTGATCTGCAAGAACAACATGGATTTGAAGGCACAATTCTTGTCAAAAACCACTAGTCGAGTTCTACAAAGACTGTGTCTCTGATGAATCTTTTCGCAACCTTCTTCATCATGCAATGAAAACAGTGACGCTGTTCGGCAGCACTTATCTCTGTGAGCATTCTTTTCCAAGTTGAAGTATTCAAAATCGAAGAACAGAAGCTCTATTTCAGATGAACATTTGGAAAACACTCTGAGAATCGCTTCCTCGGCGGATAGAAAACCAGACATATGTGCTATTATGATCAGAAGAAGCAGTTGCCATCCTTCCCATTGACAGGAATTGTACAGTTATACGTGAAATACAGTGATTTTAGCCCTGTCATGTGGTTTGTTTTAGGGATTTTTCAATAAATTGTGTTTTTTTTTTTTCGGCATTTCTGGCCCCGAGCGTTCAAAAAATCTACATTTTTGGCCCGCCGAATGAAAAGTTTCCCGGCACTGCTTCTAAATAGTAGCTGTATTATTCACTCACCTCACAACGACGGGACAATACGGGGTTTTACTCACCCAACGGCCGCTCTAGGCAGAAAAGCGTGGTGCTCTCTCTCTCCTCTCTCTACAACGCTCTATAACTCTCTGCTCTCCATCTCTCTACAACACTATAACTCTCTCTCTCTCTCTCGAACTCTCCATCTCTTTGTCTCTCTCATCGAACTCTCTACCACAACCTCTCTCCTGCGCTCCTCCCGCCAACTAACGGAGAAGCACACGACGATTTCCCGCCTATCACTTGGGCGGCCAACTGTTTCGGCCGTGGCTCTACCGCCTAGAGGGGGGGAGCCATTGCACCCACATGGCGCACCTCGTGTTGGCTTTTTTGATAATTTCAACCCTCGGCTAAGCAAACCCAGGCAGACAAAAAGGCCAGCAAGGACAGAACAATTAGACAAAACAAACATTCACCCATCTCCGCCATCTCCCGGTACCTAGCCAGGGGCCTAACACCCATACCGCTCTGCGGACCCGAGGGCCCGGTGTGCCACCGTTAGCAATAACTATATCATATGTTAATGTAAAAGCTTTTATTAATTATGGCAGGGTATTTATGCTTGATGTGGTCGTTATTTCTGTCAAATATTGTGCAACGTTCTCACAACGTTGTAGGAACGTCTGTAATGTATACATTCCCTCAACCAATTCATGTTATTGTTTGGAGGCAGAGACCATGACGACAGTGTGCCATCAACATTAGTATTAGTGTATGCACTTGTTTAACAGGTGACAGAGCCATGGGAGATGGTCGGTGTTGATCTCACTGGCCCACTGAAGACAACTGAGACTGGGAACAAGTGGAGACTTTTCACGTGTACAGTCTACTTCACAAAATGGCTGGAAGCGTTTCCCATATCAGACAAAAAAGCTGAAACAATAGCCAGTTGTCTTATGATGGTCATCTATAGGCATGGAACCCCCAAAAAATATTAACAGACCTGGGAAAGGAATTCATCAATGCAGTTGAGTAAATGTTCCAGGGATATTGTAAATTCATCAAAAACCCTTTGTGTTGGTTGTACTCACAAAAATAGGAATAAATTAGGTATGGAAACAGAGAGTATAAAAAAGTAATCATCCATTTTTAGTTATAATAATTGCAAAAAGATTGCCTCAGTTTATTTATTTTATTTTTACCAGATCAACAAAGACATATGCAAGACCTTAAACATCCGTCATTTGATGACCGCAGCTTATCATCCCCAAACCAATGGGTTGGACGAGAAAAATTTACCGTGTGTGAAAAATTGTTTGAACGGAGCTTTAGAAGTCTAGTAGTTGATGGTGTGCACGTCACATCATCAGTACTATACGGACTGTTAAAAGAGGAAGTGGAGCCAGAATTGTGCGGTTAGTAATGCTCATAGGGTCTATGTCTCCCTGACCTCTGTTTGACCTGGCTCGTTCAGATCTTTCTGACTAACCCTATAACCCTCGGTAACTATCTGATATGGTTAGGGTTAGGATTAGGGTTAGTCAGAAAGATCTGAAGGAGCCAAGTCAAACAGAGGTCAGTGATACATAGACCCTACGGGCGTTAGTAATTAGTTTGTTGAGCTGTATATTTTTCTTACGTAAATCGTGTTTTACTTTGATCTTATGTTGTAGATCTAAAAAAAATCGCCACCAAGTCAGGGTTCTAGATTAGCCGTGTCCCGATATCCGCGGAATAGTATATCAATAATTTTTTTTGTTGGATACTAGAATTCGAATGCCTCGATAGTAAGAAATCGTCAAAATCGGGGTCATTGTAGCAAGCGCACCAGACAATGTGTCTGGCGGAGGAGAGACTCGTTTAGCTCATTATGCTGCCCCCCCCACACACACGCGCTCAGCAAATGAGTGCTGTATGTTGTACCCAACGTTTGTTCCCTGATTTAAAAACCATGCACCCCCCAGGGCGGCGCCCTATCTGGGGAAACCGGGGTCCCTTTCGCGGACTTTTTGATTTTTTTCTACCCACTATCGCAGGACTCGGTAGAGACACACACCCTATCTCTCGACCTTTCAAGAATACACCCTCTTCTTTTACGATTCAGTAAAATGTACTCTTTTACAGAAGTCCTTTGGGTGTAACTCACAAGATGAGACACTCGTCTGAAGAATTCTAGGTGCCTTTCTACACGCATTTCATTACCACGGGGGCAATAAGGGGCAGTTCAACTTTTTACAGGATTTTGCAGTCATTTTAATTTAATTCTTATCATGTTTATTTTGGATTATTTTCAGGGGAAAAACTCAAAAAAAACACCAAGAATGTGTATTACCGCAAGTGGCAGCAGGGAAAAGCAATTGGGGGTGTTCGAGCTCGCTGCCAAAGTTGTGGGACACCATGTGCAGCCTGCAAGGGTGAGTATATATAATACCTTTATACGTAAATAAATCACATTATATTACTAGTTAAATAATATGGCATAAGCATAAGGAAGCTAAGAATATCACATAAAAGGCTGTATTACTATT